GTTCTGACTCAATGGCACACAACAACAACATATGAACTAATACTCTCATTTAAAGATCCCACCTGGACCGTCTCACCTGTATCACATTCCACATGGTGCATGGAGTTTTCTTGCATGTGTATGTTCTCAGTAAATATTTGTGTGAATGAAAAAGAAAATAGCGAGGCGAATAAGCTCTGAGATCTGGGCTAAGCAGAAGGCTTACTCCTACCACTGGAAGGATGAATACTAGATGGTGGGTACTGAAGACATTTTTGTGGTTGTGCTTTAAAAGTTAAACCCACTGTGATTCTGTTAAGTGTTATGAAAATCTGAAAACAGATAATGGTCATGGTTGAGAGTTTGTTTTGATAAGTATTACAACCTTGAAAACCTTATAAGACAATTCTACTATGCCCTAGAGGGTCACTAAGGGTTGGAATAAACTCAGTGGCAACAAGCTTGGTTTAACTGGTGAGGTGTGATGGAAAACGAGTTATTACTGTGACAGAAATCTTAAGGCAATAAATAAGGCATGGCCAACCAGTATTACATGAAAAGCTGACCTCTGAGTCAGGCTTTAGAGGACGAACAGGATTTGGGACATGCCATCAACACTGTTCATTTGTGTCTTCCTGGGCAAAGTGAGTTCCATTATATGCCTTTTGCCTTGGTTCTTTGGAAAAACACTTTTGTGAGGTTTGTTCCCTAAAAGGTTAAGTTACCTTTCCTCCAGTTCTCTATCCTAGAGGGTTGGTTACTTTTGCCCAGGTTGATATTTTGTTTAAAACAAGTTCATTTGATATTTTTGTCTACCCCTGAGCTGCAGCATGCATATTACACAAAAAACATGTCTATAACCTGCAATGCATCAGAGAGAAAACTGGTCTATGGGCCTATCCACAAAGGGAACTGTGTATAATTTATATATATTTATCTCCAACATTGTAATTTTTAAATAGAAAAACAGAAAGAAAAGCCAGCAGGTTTGAGAATATAAGAAATCTCCTAAAAGCAGTCACACTGATCCAGGACTATACCACTAAATATGAAGTCCTGTCCTGTCCTGAACGTGGCCAAAGGGAGGTGACATGGCCACAAGGGGCATACAGGGCAAAGGGCCTGTTTGCTTGCATGGCTTAAATAAAGCTGAGCAGCCCAAAAATGCTGTCCTACAGTGAATAAGGGAATGATGTTTTCTAGACTTGGCCTCTGTGCTTCCTGATCCCGAGCTGTATCCTGTTACTTCCCTAATATGCCCCATAATTGTGTAGGGTCTAGGAGTTCTGTGTGGCCACTGCAATAAATTATTGAACCCAGCAGGGCAGTAGAGTGCTCTAGGGAGGACGGATGGTTTCAGAATTGGGAAAAAGCTCGGAGTAAAGCTCTGTGTAACCTCCATCTCTGAGAAATGAGCTTTAAGCAAATGGTGATTTCTCATTATCAAACTTGTAGGAATGTTCTGATACAATTACTACTCAAACACCAGGTTTTCTTTCTTCCCAGGGAAGAAAATAAATCCTTGGAGATGGAATTTGTGCCATATATATCAAGAGAGTCAGAAAAAAAATTAAATAGTTGCTTAGCATGCATTGGAAACAACAATGCACGCTTTGTTTGAAATAGCTTCTACGTTATTACAAAGGAAGCTTGGATAAAAATGAGATAAAAACTTGCCCTCCCAGGTCACACTGGGGCAGAGGCAGGGCCAGGATCAAGACTCTTACCTCCTCTCTCATTCCTACAATGTTATTGCCAGAACTGGAAAATTGGGAGAATCACCCACTAGGGAAACAGTCCGGCTTCTTGCTGTTTTTTCTCAAGCAAGCTCTGTATATGCTGCTTCCTATTTGTCTTGCTGCCATATTCACCTCTTCTCATCAAATATCCCCCAATCCTTTTGTTTCATCACACACGCACACACGTATCAGTCAAAACTCCAGAGCTTTATTGCAAATGGAATTGACAACTAGACAACTCCCTCTCCAGTCTGTCTTCTCTACCCTCTTCCCTCCCAAGACCTCCCTCCAGGAGAGGTCAGCCCAGGCCATCATGAAAGAGGACCCTGGGGAGTGCAAAGGGACAGTGCTTTCCTCCAAAGTCCATTGAAACTCTGCCTGCTGGCACCAGTGGAAAACTTTTGGTAGAAGGTAGTGAGACTTTTAGCTCTCATCTTCAAGGTCCTCCATGTCTACATCCTGGGGGGCTTTTGTCTTTCGGCGTTTGGGCTGTGGTTCATTAGTCCTGGATGGCTTTGGGGTGAGTTCCACTGAGCAGAAGAAAAGAGGAAGCATTAAAGAACCCATACAAATGCAGGGTCCCCTCTCATCCCAGCTCCCTGCTCCAGCCTCACCTTCCATGGCTGCCTTCTCCTTCTCGGCAAGCCGGATTTGCTGGAGGAGCTTCCTCCGCTTTTTCCCTGACAGGGTAATGTTGGCACGAGAACTGGACCTAAAGTCAAAGCAATTGCCACTGGGTCAGTTCCACTCCCGGTGAACCCACATGAGCCACGGAGAACTGCATGCCTTGGGTTTTCAAGACTGAAATCTTTTGGAAGCACGTAGTGTTTCTTCCAACGTGCCTCTCTGGGTTTGAGCCATCAACTTAAGTCAGTTGTTGATCGCTTAATTGCTTGCATCAGACAGTGACTCTGAAGGGGAGGTTTATTTACAAAAACCAAATCCCCCACCATCAAGTAGATTTCAACTCACTGCATCCTGTAAGACAGAGCAGGGCCGCCCGACAGTGTTTCCAAGGCTAGGATCTTTACAGGTGCAGATTACCTCATCTTTCTCTCATGGAGTGGCGGGTGGGTTTGAACTGCTGAACTTTTGGTTAGAGGCTTAATGCCTTAATCAAGGTACCACCAGAGTTCCCATAGGAACAAAGAAATTCAGGTTAAACTGCAGTGAATTAGGCCACCTATGTGATCCTGACTTTGCAAAGGTCTTTGGGCTCAAATCACAAAAGTATATGTTCTGAGGCTGTGACTTAAGCTTCTCTAACCTTTAGACTTTTAACATCCTTTGATATTTCTCCCATTGCTGACAGGTCAGAACCAACTAATGACTGGCCTTCCAGCTGTTTTCGGAGGCTGTAAATAGCACTTGAGGAAACTGCCATCCTTCTAGTTTAGTATTAAACAAGTATCTCAGCGTTAAATACTAAAATGTGAAAATTTTAGGGTATAGTAAAAATTAAATAACTGATCAAATTTTCTTAACAATGAAGCAGTCAATGAAAAGATATAGAAACTAACTGATGAAATGCAAACTCTCCTTCTGCAGGGCCTTGAAACATGTATGTAAAATTCCACGTGTATTTTATGTTTGAAAATGAATCTAACCTTTAATATTTCTCTATGAGTAATTTTACTTATAAAAGACAATGTGAATATACTGTGTTAGCTGTGATGTGGAGAATCAAAAGTTTTCTGTGGATTCTTAGTGGAATCCAGGACCCACAACTGCTAGTTGTGAACTAGCAGTATTGTGAGAGGCCAACCAGCCTGATGCCTTCGGATTACGATGTTGGCAGAGGGTGTCGAAATATGTTTCTGGATTGTAGAAAGAAATGCGCCTATCTTGGCAGAAATAAAGCTGAAAGCTCCTTAGAAGCGAAATGTCAAGACTGTCTCTTGTACTTTGGACCTGTGATTTCAGGAGGGACTAGTCCCTGGAGGACATCACGCTTGATCAAGCAGAATATCAAAGAAGAAAAAAAAGAGGAAGGCAGTGGACTCAAACATAGCAATGTTTGAGAGGATGGTGAAGGTCAGGACATGGTTTGGCTCCGCTGTAAGCAGGCTTGTTACCAGTGGAAACCAACTCTAGGGCACCTAGTAACAACAGAAGAGTGTGGCAGACAAGCATCCTAGCAGCGAGCGCGCAGAGCAGCAGGGAGGAGCCAGACGCTCCCAGGCTCCGCTCGGAGGAGGGGGGACGAGTGGGCGGAAGCAACAGGGCAAAGAAGACAGGACACTCACGAGCGCTTCTTGAGGTGGTGCCGCGTGATCAGGCCTTCGTCTATCACAGCCCCGACTACCCGGCGCCTCTGTCGCCGCTCCCGATTCAGCACACGGCGCCGCTTGAACAGCTTCTTCTTCAGCTCCTACGGAGGGGAGGAAGGTGCGAGTCACGCAGAGGCCGCGCCCGGCGAGACCCCCGCCCCGTTAAAATCTGTCTCGGGAGAGAGGGCAGCCCGTGGCTCGCTGGAAGGGAGGTAGTAAGGGTCGGGGACGCGAGGATCGTAAACAAAGTCGGGGGGGGGGGTCCCCATGCAGTCACCGTCCGGGGTCGGTTGATTTTCCCGCCGGGAGCGCCCATGGCTGCGCCGCGACTTCTGCTCGCAACTGCGCTTCCGCTCCCGGCTGGGTCTCGCGCGGGGGCCCCGCCCCTCCGCCCTGAGGCGGCCAATCGTGGATCGAGGGGGCGTGTTCCCCCTCTATATAAAGGTGTTCGGCTGCTCTGTTATTCTTTCGGAGTTCACACAGCCCCAGTGAGTGTGATGCTTCCTCGTGCTCTAAATTGCGGTTAGGGGTGCGTGGGCGGGTGAACCCTCCTTTTCTTGGCGGGGTCTGGGCGTGTGGTCCCGGTCCCCGTTATGTACGGAGGCAGAGGGAGAGGGCTCCGGCCCCCTCGGCGTCATGTCTTCGGTGCCGGTGGCTTCCTGTCCGCCGGTTCTATCCTCAAGCGCCGAGACAAAGGTCTCCGATGATCTGGGCAGATCCGAGGCTCCTCCCGGGGCTGATCACGTCTTCTCCTTTGTTTTCAGGACTCAGAACGCCGCTCGGAAGCAGGAGCTGCCGTGTTCCCCTTTTCTGTCTGTAGCCAATAAAGACTGTTGGTGCCACTAGTCAGTTCGTTTCTGCGTCCTTTTTTCCCCTCCCGGGCTACCGGGTTCGGGGAGGCGAGAACAAGTCCTTGGCGACCTGGAATTTGTAGACCTTCCCTTGGAACGCAGACTCCAACCGCCGCCTTCGCCAGCTGTCCCCGGCGAGCTGCAGGAGACGCCTGGCCCGGATGGCCGCGTTGGGCCGACTCCTCCACGTGGCGACCTTGGCGGCGGGGATGCGCCGCACCTTGGGTAGGGAAGGGCAAAGAGGGGCTCCTCGTGACCCGGGAGCCTAGTTTGAAACAGCGTCCGGGATTTAACATGAAAGAGTCTTATTAGAATTTGGACGCCGGGTGACAGCTAACTCTCCACCCCTGTCCATAGGCTCCCTGGCTGGAAGCTGCCTGGCCGACCGCCATGTCTGGGATCGCCTCCACTCTCAGGCTCGTCGGGACGGCCTTCCCACATATGACTGGTTCTTTGGATACGAGCAAGTTCAGTATCTCCTCCTACCGCTGCTTAAGGAGGCACTGGCCAGCCGTCCTCTGCGAGTGCTGGATGTGGGCTGTGGGACCTCCAGCCTCTGCACGGATCTCTACACCAAATGCCCCTACCCCGTGGACGTTCTGGGGGTGGACTTCTCTCCTGTGGCCGTGGCCCACATGAATCGCCTCCTGGAGGGTGTTGAAGGCCAAACCCCGCTGTGCCCTGCACACCCAGCTTCCTGCCTCCATTTCAAGCAGGCTGATGCCCAGGCTCTAGGGTCAGTGGCTCCCTCTGGCTCCTTCCAGCTAGTGCTGGACAAAGGTACCTGGGATGCAGTTGCCCGGGGTGGGCTTCCTGCAGCCTACCAGCTGCTTTCTGAGTGCCTGAGGGTCCTGAGCCCTGGAGGCACTCTTATTCAATTCTCAGATGAGGATCCTGATGCTCGCCTACCCTGCTTGGAACAAGGGTCACAGGGCTGCACTGTGACAGTGCAAGAACTAGACCCTTTCAGGGGACTAACTTACTTTGCTTACCTGGTTCAGAGTTCTCCTTAAAGTCCTCACCTTGGTCCTTTTGGTGAGGGTTAGGGAGAGCTTTTGTGTTTTTTATTTTATTTTATTATTTTTGTGTGCGTGTACCATCAAATCTGACTGGTACAGGAGGAGATTGCCCCTCCTTCCCCGGCAGAGCATCTGGTGGATTCGAACTGTGCGCCTCTGGGATTGTAGTTGCAGCTCCTTGCCACTAGGCCACCAGAGCTCCCCAGCTTTTGTCTTTTAGAGATTGCAAAAAAGTGTTAATTTGATAACCTGGTTTGTACCTTGACTTGCTGGGTGCCATGTATTACTAACTGCTTTGTCTCAGTCTACAGAGTGAAGTTCTAGAGATTACAATGACTTATCAAACAACTAGTAGAGCCAGGCACACAATAGTGTTGAATAAAGTGGAAATGGATCATCCCTCCACTAACTGGAGCTCTTTAAATCTTAATCCAAATCCTTTCATTGATTTACCTGTATGACCCAGTAGCCTAACTTCAAAATTTCTTAACCCATAAAAAGGGAAAATTATGGTGGGTAGAAAGTGGTTTTGGGTGCCAACAATACTTACCCTCAAAGCCACTGGGAGGCATGAGATGAGAAAATTCCTTAGAGCAGCTTCTACAGACAGAGCCTGCTGCCAGGTCCCAGAGAGGACTGAGTTTGGGGGTTTCCTGACACTCCATGGCCTCAGGAATCCAGTGGATATCTTGTTCTTCCTGCTCCTGCCCCCAATTGAATCCTGGATTAAAGGTTCTTAGGGGAGATCTGGGATCCAGTGGGCTCCAAGACCACCCTAGGGGGAGGTGTAAAGAAGTTTATTAACTGAAAAATATTTCTGATGCTGAGTTTTTAATAGAATAAATTTGTTACCAATTTTCCTAACATTAAAGACGGGTAAGTAATTGTCATTAAAGATTAACAGTGGTTGTAGCAAATAAAAGCTTAGGGTTTCGTGACTTTTTAATTAAGTTATTTCCCTTAGAATTGTAAAAAGAGTAGCTTCTGTAGCATGGAAAGTAGTGGGATTGGGTTGGGATAACTCCCCCAAAAAAACATATTTTTAAAGAAGTATCCACTGTCCTCCCATCAATACTGCCCTCTAACTTTCTCCATTGTTGTCTACTACCTGGATTTTTCTCTCCTGACTATTGATCACTGTTTTTTGGCATATCTATGTGCCTGGCACTGCTAAAGAAACACAACAAAGTTTTCTTATCTTGCCCTGCCCAGAATACCCTGGTCACGCACAGTGGCACCATTTAGCCAGGCACCTCCCTCACCTGGCTCTTCATTTTGGTCCTGGAAGAAGACCTCGGCTTCCTCTTCACCGTCAGAGAGTAGCAGTAGCTCCTCTTGGGACCACAGGAGTTCCCCACTGTCTTCACTCACCTCACAGGTTTCCACCACAATGGAGGGCAGGCGGGGCTTTTGAGATTCAACCTAAATGGGGACAGCAGGGAGCTTGGGCCAGATTGGAAGATGAGTGAGCAGTGGGGCAGATGTTGGGAAGTACTAACCTGAACACCATCCCGGTGACCTTCAATCTCCCCTCTCTCTGTATTAAGAGGGTTGGTCAGCCTGAGATTTTCTGGATTCATGGAGGAACTTGGGCTATCTGTAGACCAAAGTCTGTCCTCACTGCTCCCTGGAACAAGGGCCATGGTGGTAATTTTTAGATTGCAGGATGGGTTATCTCTTCAACAGAGTATCCCTTCTCAGTGCACCCCACATACTTTTTAATCTTCTTTGGAGCCTGGGCCCTTAATCACTTCTGAGGAGAGGACGGCATGCTAGGAGATTATGGGCCTTCTAGCAGAGGGCACAGTGCCCAAGAGGTGAAACAGGAGATTATGTCTATGCTTACTTGGAGCAGAAAGGACACTTGGATTAACAGTACTTTGTGAGTGAAGACTTTTGATAATGAACTTGGAATATTCTGACACTGTAGTTTTTTGGGTCTCCCAAATCAGCCTGTTTGTGTTTTACTTAAGAAAACTAAGAAAGTGTTTCTGTTTGCTTTAACAATACATTTCTGGGAGAACTCTGGTGTCCTAGTGGCAAGAAGCTGCACTACAATCCCAGAGGAACACAGTTCGAATCCACCAGATGCTCTGCCAGGAAAGGAGGGACAATCTCTTCCTGTACCAGTCAGATCTGATTTGACGGTACACGCACACACACAAATAATAAAATAAAAATTTAAAAAAGTACATTTCTACCCACTCATAGCTGACCCTCCATCAGCTTTGAGAGTTGTAAGTCGCACAAGATGAGCTAGCCCAATTTCTGCCCTCACCCTACCACGGAGTAACTGGTGAATTTGAACTGTATTTCATACTGGCCTCATTTTCAGAAGCAGAAGCACAGATAAGTTAGGGATTTGCCTGAGTCACAGCTAAGAGGCATTTTCTTCTCCAAATGAAATTTGGTGTATTATATGAATTTTTAAAAAAAACATGATTTCATGGTTTTCTTTAAAAAAATCCAGTAAGGATA